TAGTAAAATCTATTGGAAGGCTGCTGTACAGTCAAAATAGGGAACACAAAACTAAACCAACTAAAAGGTGCACAGAGTTGGGTGTTGATTATCAGTGGATAGTGGACAGTGGTGTGTTATAACATGAAAGTTAATTAAATGAATCGATATCTGCACCTTAGTAAGCCTGCGCGATTATGTGGGTGAACTTTCAAATGTGTAAAAACCAGTCACTACAAATAGTCCCACTGGTTATATTTAAATCTTTACTGTTGATGAAGTGCTTCACTTTATAATCAGTGCCCCAGTAAACTACAGGGAGCATTCACCACAACCACAACACCAGACATCCAGCTCTCAACACCTGCCTCTATAATTGGGTACTGGACTTCCTCACCACCAGGCCGCAGTCAGTTCAGATCAGCTACATTTTCAGCACCACCACACTAAGCACCGGGCTGTGTGCTGAGCCCACAGCTATTCACACTGCTGACATCTGATTGCATGCACTGCATCATCCTGTGAAGGCGCTTCACTGGGTTTACTGATGGCACAGCAGTGGTGGGCCTCACCAACAAAGATGAAACAGCTTGGACCTTCTAGCAGTGTGGTGTAAGACCAACAGCCTTTCTCAAAATAAATGGAAAACAAAAGAGGTTATCGCAGACTTCAGGAAGATGCAGCTGACCACATGCTGCTGACCGTCGATGGCACCGCTGTAGACAGGGTCAAGAGAACAAAGTTCCTGTGAGTGCAGTTCACAGACGACTTCGTCTGGGTCTCACATGTGACAGCGCTTTCAAAAACTAAAGTCCAGAACTTTCCCGCGGTAAAAAATTCCTTGCGTGCATTGTGATTTGGTCTTCCACAGCAGTGCAGAGGCACCGGGAAGATTATACAAAGTGTGATGATTAGCAGTGAGGTTTGAATGCAGCATGTAAAACGCTGTGCAGTATTTGTCCAATCAGTGACATTCAGCACTGCAAATCACATCCTGATATGTCTTGGGCCTTCTGAAAGTACTATCTCTGGCTAGGGACTTTTTAAGGGGGTGGAACTATGGCCCGAAACTAAATGTAGACCCTGGTTCCTCCAATGGAAATGCAGGCAGTGGAACTATGTTCCAAAAAAAGGCTCCTGTTCCCTGAAGAAAATTCCTTTGGTGGAAATAGGGCTTAAGAAAGCAATGCCAACTTTCTACGACGTTGAACACCATGAAAGACCCCTCCCACCACAGCCACAGCCGCTGCGCCACTTACTATCCAGCCAGAGGTACAAAAGTAACAAGACCTCCTCTGCCAGGCTATACAGAAGCTTCTTCCCTCAAGCTGCAAGGATTCCTAACAGCTTGAGCACCAAATGTAAAGACTGTTTTGCTAGAATTTCATCACCGTGTTTGCTAGGAGAGGAGAACATGCATTGGACCGTGTTTCCCTCCAGACTGATCTTGCTAATGCAGGAGTGATTACTCTTACTTCAACGCAAGTACACAAACACTGACACTTTGAGCTACACTAGATCGATTTCATGTGTCACTTCTAGAGGGCGCTGTAGCATGAAACAAGAGAAACCTGATTTCTTTTACATGAGTTAACTCCTGCTCAAAACAACTGTAGCTGACAAGTCTGATAAATCTTTAGCTGAACCTGTCTTTATATGCCAATACTTCATCACCTCTTCATTCAGTCGAAAACACTTCAGCCAAAATTGCAACTGCTCTCAACCATGTTAAGTACAACAGGACAAATTCCCCATGGATGCCATGTCTGTTTGCTACTGTGATCTTGGAAACATTCTGAGCTTCAGCTGATTGATAGCATGGACTGAGCTGAGTGCATGTTGACTACATGTTCACTGGGGACACCAAGCGCTACAGTCTTTAGTTTTACTCTACAATTATTTTTTTGTTTCCACCTATTCATTATTTAGCACTCTTCCTTATCTCTGTTCTGTGGTGCCCCATGAGAAATGATGTCATTGCCCTGTGTATGTCATGTACATCTATAACCCCTAACCCTAATCCAGTAAGCCTGAATCTGAACCGGACGTGACGTTAGTAAAGTGCGATAAAGCAAAAACACCTAGGAGAAAACTTCAGCTAATGAAAGAGAAAAACTTGGTGAATTTGTAGTAATTTCTATTAAAAAACCGTACAACATCTTAACTCCTGTTCCTACAGTTACATACCTATTATACAATAGGTACACACAAATCTGCACACAAACATTGTGCCCTTCTTTGCATACATATCCTCAGAAAACAGGGAAGGTCAAAAGGGGAACAAATGTTACAGAGAAGCCTCTATGCTTGGATTTTAGACACATAAATCAACACTGTGTGTTTATGTGTGGGTGTGCATGTGTCTGTGGGTATGCCTTCATATTTGCAGGTTTTACTATATGTTTGTTGTACAAATCTATGCATATGTATATGTGTGTTTGTGTGGGAGTGTACACAAGTGTGTGCAGGTGTGCAGGCTACAAGATGTATGCATTGGAGCTCTGTGACAGGGCACATTATGATGAACAGCTCCCCTAAAAGACTGATTGCGTCTTACCGCAGCCATAAATCACACACCCACTGCCTCCTCCAAGCACACACAAATGTACACACTGAGGCACATGTACAAACAGAACTTTTGTTACCCCTCCACCCCCACCCCCTTCACTTAGACACACACACACACACCTAGAATGTTGTGTGTGATGAGCTCTACAAGCAAGGGCCAAGCGCAGAGGTCAGCACTGGACAGAAGTTCAGCACCGTGACAACCTAGATAGTGTCAGCACACCTTCTGCTGTATGTGCATGCGTGCCGTTCTGTTTCTCTGGATGTGTGTTAGGAGAGGGCGTGTGTGTATGTTTATGAGCATTACTCTGCTCTCTGCTACTCACCGATGTGTTTGCCCTTCATGTGGTAGTAGAAGGAGACGCAGTACGGGACCCTGCCGGAGCCCTTCGGTCCCTTGACTGAGGTCACGTTGAACAGTGGAGACAGCAGACGGGCCTTGTCTCCCTGAACACGAGGTCTTGATGCTTCAATGTACATGTAGTAACCTGAAATCAAAAAAATTACATTCCATTGTTCAAATGCAACACAAAATAAAATGTGATTAATTGAAGACTGGTTTTCTCGGTTTCTAACCACCACCTAATTTTGCAGTAAACATTTCTGCCTCTGCATGACTACACACACGACTGAATGTGAACATAAAACTATTCCTCCGTTTCCTCACCCTCCTTGGTTCCACTGCGGTCAGTCTCGGGGCCAGTATTAGCAGATCGCTTGGGATTCTGCGTCAGGTGATTCTGTCTCGTCCAGTCAAAGACATCGCTACGATCTTGAGAGAAACCACAGATGCGCTCGTCCTCAAAACCACAAACATGATCTGGAATGTGTTCGAAAAAACAAGAGAGCAGAAGACATTCAATCAATAATATGTGAGGCAAGTGACATTAAAAACTACAGGTGACATAACCTGGTTTTTCCTTCCCACTTTCCTCAGAGAAATGAATGTCAACAATATAGCCGTATAACGGTCTCTGCAATATGCACTTCAGATGTGAAAATCAGACAGCCAGGCAATTACAGGCAAAGTGATAGGCACAATGTAGGAGGCAGGGGATAGAGTGTGAAGCTGAAAATGGATTCCACATATTATGCATAGTCTTCCTACACGCAGAACATTTTAAGGCAACTGTGATTGGGACCAGCTATGATTAATGTCAAAGACATAGGAAACAACATCAACAAAAACCCTTTTATCAGAAAGTCTTACATGTTGTTTCATGTTAGGGACAACCTGGTTAACCTTCTGAACTATGTTTTACATTATAAGTTGTTTATTTTAGTTTTTATTTGGGAAGAGTTGTACATTTGTCATTTGTTAAATTGTCTAATTCCCAGAGTCCTAAGTGTGTCGATGTACCAGTCAGTCAGTGATGTCACCACCGGCTGCCTGATATGGATCAAGAGTTTCTTGATTCTCTTGAGGCTGTGAATAAACTGATATGGTTTATAACAATGAATATAAAAAGAGAATAAAAAATAAAAGAAGAGTATTCTTTGTACAGCGCTACAATGCCACCTCTCTAAATGTGGAGAGACTTTCAGGTTATGTTCACACATAAGTATGAGGAGTGTAGAGAGGGTATAGTTATCTCTTATTAAGAATTGTCTGTGAGAAATCCAGCAAGAGGGAACACGTCAAGTCTAAGAATGGCAAACTATGAACTGCTGTGGAGAGCACTGCGAGCTCGGCAGCTCATCCATACAGTCTGGGAGGGAATGTGTGTACAGTATGTGGTGCATGCAATCAACTTAGATGCATAGGTCCACCTTTTCCCATCTGGATGCCTCAACCGTCTGTTGACTCTGAATATGATGCCTAATTCTCACAACAAACCTTGGGGAAATCTGTGATCTTCACCTGTCAATTAACCTTCTAGGATCCTCTTTATGTTCTCCCTGTTCATATGACTTGGAGTCATATTTTGGTTTGTTGATACTGCCACATACTGTAGTTTGGTCAACTTTGATGCTGATGTCTCTTGTTTAGCCAGACCGAGGGACTCTTCTCAATGGTGCTGTCACCACCATTTGCCCATCTAGAGGACTCCACCATTAAAAGAGACTCACTACATGAATGAAAATCAAAGCAAGCCAGTATAACACCAGCTATCTAAGCTGACAGTTTCGGTGAAAGCTTCCCTGGACACTCACACACACACACGATGGCTTGTGTGTGCTTCTTTGTTTCAGGGAGCTAATCTATTGCTATTCACACCCTGCTCCACTACATACGCTCCTTTCAATTTGCACTGTTGTTCTCGCAGTCTGTTCCAATCTGCTGTTGTTTTAATTGCCTCACCCTGGCAGAGCCAACTGCCACTCCTGCCAGAAAAATGCTGCATGTCCCTTAATGAAGAAAATAGACAAGATGCAATTGACTGAGAAAGGAAGAGGGATGGCAAGAGAGAGGATGAGTGGCAGGGAGAGAGCAGCAGTGAGACGTGGAGAGGGGAGGCTGAGAGAGAGAGCTAAAGATTTAAGGTGATAGGTAACAGTTTTAATATAATTTTATTCAGTGAGCTCCAATATGCGATATTTTCAAAACCTTTTACCAATCACATCACCTTAAATAGTTTTATATCCTTGCAATCACGGCCACTCTTTCATGACATTTAAAATGCTGTGGGCCAGCTTCCAGCCATCATTTGCTTTCTCACATCCTGCTGTTACCCCATTCTCCTCTCTAGCAGCAAGATTTAATAAAGGCCAAAGCTGGGTCATGGCAAACTTTGCCTTGACAAACTTGTGCTGACATCGCTTGCAGCATACAAGCTAAATTAACTTTGATCAAAATTCAGTGTCCCTTCCTAACTTCACCAACTGTCATCAATCAGGTCACAATAACACGATCCAGACTATGAAATGAGGAAGAGCTTAGTACTGTAGCTAGGTCTCACCTGAAGGTCTCGGGTAGGTGTAGGCTGGAAGAAAATTACAAGAATATTGATTACCATTCACATATGCACAACCCATCAATTATTCTATGATTTGATGTGAAAGACAGTGACTAGAGACAAAGATGTTTGATAAAAATTCCTTTAAATGTGTCTTACGTTCTGAATACTGGATGATTCGACTGATGTATTCCCCAGTGCTGTAGGTGGTGATGGGGGCCAGTCGGACCTCGTAGGACAGAGGGATTCTCAGGTCTGAAATGACGTTAGACATCAGCACACCGCTCTCTGGCTCCTTACCCTTGAGGTCTATCTGCTTCGACAGCAGGTTCTGCTTGTTCTGGATTAGCACACACGCAGGGGAAGATGCAGTCACATTAAGATGTACACTCACACACATACTCAAAAGAAAACAAACCAGTACATATAAAGACAAATACAGGCAGTAGACAAAAGACAGTCATTACACAATGCAGCAACTCTGACTGACAGACTGTTGGCACCTCCCATCTTTTCTCCCCCACTTTCATCACACCATCCTCACCCTCATCTCTACCACACTAAGTTGATACATTATTCTGAGATTTTCACCAATCAGCTAAAGCCCCCACTTATCTCCCATCTGGAGGATTTTCACTGCAGTATCAACTACTCCTCTGCAATTTTATGTAAACAGGCAAACAAAGTCAACTTGGGGTTAAGGATCTGCTCATATCTTCCTGGCAAAAATACCATCTGCTCAGATGTGATTAGGGTTATTTGCTTTGTGCTGTATAAGCTATAATCATTTATCTACACGTATTAATCACTATAATATCATCATCATATTGTTGTTACTTTTCCATATCTGCGCATACTTCCACACATTTCCTTTTACGGTCAATGAAATTAGGTGCTGGCATACAGCCAGTTCTGGGCATATAGCCATAAAACACACCTCAGGATTTTACATATCTTGAAATTTTGAATAGCTCCTTTTTTTTTTTTTATCCCAAACAAAGTGAACCAACTATCAAAAGATGAATGTGTTATGAGCTTGCCCCACTAAGCGCTTTGAAAGCAGGGCAGGTTACTGTACATCAGTCTCAGTACATCAGCAGTCTCCTGCAGATCTGTTCTCAAAAACACAGGTTGGACCAGTGTTAGTGTACTGAGCCAGCTGTCTGATTTCCACCACCACTGCAACATGGACTCTATTATTTTAACAGGAGAATTAAAAGGCCCTTTTTGTTTGCTTTTCACTATTAAGTTATTTATGATAAACAGTAACCTACCCACATTATATCCCAGACAATCTGAATTAAATTGAAGCTGCTGTGCATTAAAAGACTGACAATGAAAATAAAAATGGTTATGATCTTAATCCAGTCCAATCGCTGCCATCTAATTTTTTTAAAAGTTAACTTAGGGGTGTTTTTTTGTTAACACCAATTTCAATAGCACTATTGTGGTGTTATTCCACCCACGGAGAGGATCCATTAGCTGTGTATCTGCCTCTGATCCCAGCCACTCAAAGACCTGACAGTGAGCTCAATCTAATGCATTAGGTCAGCCACTCCACCATAACATCTTAGTACACCCACAGCATGGCATTATCAGGTAATACATGTAGCAGAGGTGTGCGTGTGTGTGTATTGTGTGTGATGCATGTGTTAGTGCGTGCACACACTTGCGTGTACGGCAAATGTCTAGAGCACAGAGCTGCTATGTGGTGAGCAATCAGAAGATCCCAAGCAAGCACAGAATATGTACAGACACGTTCTCTGCCAACCACAGTTTACAGGAGCTTCTGTATATGACTTCATTTGTCGACTGATTTATTGCAATGAACACTCAATTTTATTTTAATCAACCCAAATTTCTAACCCCAGAAAGTAAATATTGGACCCTGTTGGCAACATAAAAAATATCATCATCAGAACTGCTTGTCCATTCCAATTTTGTAGGATAATTATTTAGTTTTTATTTTTCTGTCCCTACTCTGCTCCTCCAGTCCAAAGAAAACCAGTTTGGTAGGTCACAGAGCTGCTGATGCATCCCAGAACTTTCCTTATAATTGCTACAGTACTGCATGCTCTGACATCACCATGCTGCGTTTCCTCCTGTCTTCTGACACTCAAAGTGAGGTGTGCTGTTCCCACTGGATGTCTACGCCCCACCACTAATTCAGACTCACCTAGACTGGGCTGATTATTTCTATTGACAAGACCATGGTGACTCCTGCCCAGGCTGCCAAAAATTTGGTACAACTCCAATTATTGTGTGAGCTCCACATGGCAGCCACAGCCTGTTGCCTGCAAGTTTGTGCTCGGCAACATATATGGAATCAAATCCTTCCTTCCTCACCAGGCGCTATGCCACTAATGGCTGTTAAATCTCCTTTTCTCAGTGCCAGTCTGGCTGTTTCCATTTCTGTAGCTCCAACTTTTCACTCTCACTTGCCAGTCATGGAACAACCTTCTCCCTCATTGGACCTTGTAGGTATCTTTTAGCACAGACAAAATAATCCTATTTCTGAAACATAAACTTCTTCCCTTTGAATAAAATGTTCTCTCCTCTAATTCAACTCATATGCTCCCAAAAAAAAAACTGCTTCTTGATGACCATTTTCCTCTTAAACCTTTCTTTTACAATGCTGCCGGACCACATTAAGGGTCTGACCTTTGCAGATTGGGCTGCTTGGTACCAGCATCAGCTAATATAATTAGCAAGAATAAGAAATAGGAAACCTAACAAAGAATTTAGTGGCAGGATGCTGTAAAAGAGGATACGGTTTAAGAGACTGTCACATCAAGGAAAGGTCACAGGTTTCTATTTCCCAAACTGCAGTGTGTGCTGTTGAGGTTTTCATGAGGAAGGTCCCGCACCCCTTCTTGCTAAATCATTCTAACTTTTGATAGAGTCATCTGGTAAATGCTTAGTATATTAGTGCAAAATGGAATCTTTAGAACAAAGAACAGTCTGTGACTGGGAAGACAACAAAATACTTATTTACTTGAAAAAAAATCAGGCAAGCTCATTTCTCTGAGTCCAAGATTTTTCCTACTATAATCATAAAATCTGGTATATCCATAGGTGGAAGAGGTACTCAGATCCCATACTTATGTAAAAGTACAACTATGACAGCGGGTGGAGAGCTTGAAATACCTCAGAGTCCACCTCAACAACAGACTGGACTGGAAATGTAACACAGATGCTGTCTACAGGAAAGGACAGAGCAGACTGTCTGGGGAAGCTCAGGTCCTTTAACGTGTACAGCAAGATGCTGCAAATCGTTTACCAGTCTGTTGTGGCCAGTGCAGTTTTCTTTGCTGTGATGCGCTGGAGCAGCAACACCAGCAAACTGAATAAACCAAGCAGGAAGGCTGGCTCCCTGCTGTTGACTCCTCCGGAGATGCTTCACACTAAGCCGTTCCTGCCGACTGCCACCACTGTACAGTGATTCTCCTCTGTGTCTGAAGAGGGATCCCCACCTGCACTAATGTACAGTGTAGCTCTGTGTATATATTGTACTGCATATATACAGTGCTTAGGCTTCTTTTCTACTCTACTTCCCATTGGACAGTGATGGAAGAACTACTTGGATTCCTTACTTAAGTAAAAGTAGTAATACAACAGTGTAAAAATGCTCTGTTACAAGTAAAGGTCCTACGTTCAAACTGTTACTTAAGTAAAAGCATACATATATCAACATCAAAACATATTTAAAATACTAAAAGTACTTGTAATGCAGAATGGCACATTGAACATTAATGTATATCATATTGTTGAATTATAATTTTTGTGCACATCTAATGTTGCAGGTAGCTCCACTTTTACCAGCCTCACATTTGATGTTGCAGCTGGTAAAGGGGGAGTTAGTTTTGACTCCCTTAATATGCTTTTAATTTGAATTACTGCTGGGTAACTTGTGAATTTCTACATATCAATAAGTCTTGTAATTACACTGTATTTTTTGTATTAATTTGGTTCTGAAAAGTAACTAGTAACTAAATTTATAAACTAAATGTATTGAAGTATATTGGAGTAAAAAGTAAAATGTAGTGAAGTATGAAGTTGCAGAAAATGAAAATACTCAGGTAAGGAAGATACAGATACCTCAAAACTGTACTTAAGTATAGTCCTTGAGTAAATGTACTTAGGTACTTTCCAGCACAGCATGCTGAGAGAGTGAGTGACTGACATATTTAAAGAGGGAGAGAGGTGGTTGGTTGATAGACTGACATGGATTAAGCTCTCTTTGACTGTGTTTGTGTGTGTGTGGGTGTGTGTATGCGCCACACAGACACTTTCAGAAATTTCAACCAGACTGTTTTCAGCTGTGTCTCAATCAGACTGTCAACAAAGAGACAACAAGACAAAGAATGTGTGAAAGGGAGTGAGAGCCAGGGAGCAGCCCTGAGATAGAAACACAGACGCGGGGTGACGTGTGTGTGAAAGAAAATTAGTTTGGCAGTGTGAGAGGAGACGGCCCTCTTCAAACAATAAGGAGTGTGAGGTTAATTTTTCTATTATCTTCTATTAGTGATCTCTTTCCTGACTGTCCCTTGTGCATGAGCATGTGAACACGTCATCATCTGTGCATGTGTGTGGCATGCCCGGAGCATCAATGCTTGCACAGGCCTTTGTGCTCTCTTTGAGGCCTTATGTGTGAATATATGACTATATCTGCATAGTGGGGCTGGTTATGTACATAAATTATTCATATATTTGATTTAATGTACCACTCTAATTCTTCATGAATATTTTTAATTTCTCATATATATGATAATGGGGACGTGTGTTTGCATGGCAGTGTTTATGTGACTGTGTCTCAGCATAGCAAGAGTCTGGGTGTAGCTGTGATCTGAAGCCAGGTCAGCTGATAGCTGCACAACAAACAACTTCATAGCTGCAGGCAGAAGCCCAGTCAATACAGAGATTATGGGATGGTGAAGGTGTGAAGAGGGAAAGAAAAGAAATTGGCACAATAAGGATGAAGAACTAAAGAAGCAGTAAAAAAAAAAAGGATAGATAGAAACACAAACACATTCTGGACAGTTAGTTCTCTGATCTGAGTGGAAGGTTTATGTCTGCATCGGGAAACTGTAATTGCACAGTAAATACTAGACCATATTCCTTGTTGTCAGCACCAGATTTACATAGATGGCAATGCAAATTAACAAATCAGTGTGTGCGTTTCATTGTATTTGCTAAAAATGTGCATGCGATTTGCGTAAAGAAAGGATGTGCAGTTTAAGATCAGAACACTGATGGGAATATTCTAATGGTCTAAGCCCCAGCTAGGAATCAAGTACTGATAAAATTATGATGTCAAACTTTTTAATATATTACAATCATTAAACCGGTGCCGTGGAGGTCATTAAAAAAAACTCTTCAAGGAAGAAGAGATGAACATTTTCATGACAGCCATGTCATAATATCGTCCTGCCCCCCGACAAACAACCTGACCAGTGCACCTAAATAAAAATGTCTGAAATGAGCCACAGAAACTTAGTAAACCTGTCTATCTTGTTGCAAAATGTAAAATTATCACATTTTAATTATCTTTCACAGATCAAAGCACTCGATTAGGAGACTGTAGGGGTGGAGGCTGTGGTGTGAGGAAAAAGGGTGTAAGGACAGCTGAGGAAACATGTGCGACCTGTCAACTCTGCTAATTCCTGCACAGGGGGACCCTCTGCAGGAGGACTGAAACTAAATTAAAAAGTGTAAACGAATATTTCACAGCAGAGTCATGGAGCAAACCATACAGTCTGCCACACACACATGAAAACATGATACGCTACACACACAGGTAAACACAGACTCACTAGAGGCCTTTCATTTAGTATACATACTGTATACTGTAGGCACAAATCCCCATAAATGTAGACAAACTCAATTAGAAACACAAAAAAGTGCAAAAGTCAAAGAAAATGAATAAACCTAAAGCACAAGAGCCTGCAGTTATGGGCATGTGCTCAGACCTGCAGTAACAAGCACTGCTCTACATGAACTGATCTGAAACCTCTTTTATTCCCATCTGTGTCTGCATGCCTCCCCTGAGACCCCCCACATCATTTTGTATGTGCTAAAAAGATAGTGTCAAGGCACTAAAAGGATGAGCTGGAGAAAGTGTTGCAGAAATAGATGGGTTGTGAAATTGAGATGATATTACATTTGAATGTTCTCATACTCTAGTTAATAGTTGAGAGGACCAGTGAGATTTGCTGTTTTTCTTTAATTTGCATCTTATTTCTCTGTTTCACACATTTCCAGTCACTTCTGTGCTGACTCTCACCCTCTGCTTTCTTTTTTCCATCTCATTTGGTCTCTCTCTCTGATGCACACATATAAACATTCAGGTAAAAACCTTGAAATTAAATTAAAGTTTAGCAACATTTAAGAAGTCCTAAACTGCCACTTAATGCAACTCATTATTTTAACGCTGTCAGCAAAGCAACTCGCAGCAGCTATTTATCAGCTCTATTTCAGATGCCACAGTTCACCCAACATTAAATGCCATTAAGTGTATAGCACAGTACCTCAGAGAAGAAAGATGTAAAGGGAGAGAGAGTGGAAGCAAAGCAGACCGAGAGATGGGAACGAAAGCTGAAGAAATGGAACGAGACTGGGAAAGAGATGATGGGAGTGAAAATTAGGAGACACAGCACCAGAAAAACATAAAATAAAAGGAGAGGGAACAACAGAGAGGCAGCGTGAGTTTTCAGAGAGCTTAGGCATGCCGTCTAATGTGCACCTCAGGAAGGCCAGTGTTCATTTTCTCACTCCTAGAAGAGTCTTACTTAATAAAGTAAGCAGCCAAGTCTTATGGGGGGGGGAGAAATTAACTATTTACAAAAGCAAGCTGGCAGACCCCAAATTGTTTTAGTCTGTGTATAATTCACTGACACCCTTCATGTCTTTGAATCAGGGCAGTAATTCCATGAATACATGTTTCAAATGAAACAACAAGGTTGTCTAAGGTATGCTCCCCAATTGTGGACAGAGGTTTGTCCATCCATCCATTTTCTGCCACTGACTGGGGTCAGGTCACTGGCAAGTTGGGCGAGGTTTGTGTGACACAAAATGTATAATATCTCCCTGAGCATATATAGTTTGTTTTCTGGCTTAAAAGATCTTAAGGGAACATGAGAGTTCAGGTTTAAGAGATTCATTCTAAATTTAAGTTTGTGACTGCCAGACTAATTTAACACCCCTCACAGGGGTGAAAATGAAGTCACATCAGTGCAAAGTCAATCATTTGAGGACAAGATAAAAACAAAAATAACATTAAAAATTAGACTCCCTTAACTGTCTCTAGACTGAATCCTGGTTACAGTGAAAGATGTTGGCAGCGGAGGCCTGGTCTTGTTAAGCTGTGGTTACACCATCAGGAGTGAATGCACTATTTTCTGTCTGGCCCTCACAAGCTAAAATCCTGCTGTGACAGTGCAGTGACTGCATGTGGAAAGTCTGAAAGGATGGTCACTCACTGCTACTTTTATTTCTCTGAACACAGGCACAGCCTGCTAATGGGGCTTTTTAGCGCTGATGACCATTCATCTTCACATCTTTGCGACTAGAAAGTTGAAAATGAAGCCTGCGTTTGTTAACACTAAGTGATGAGAGCTGGATATTGAAGATGTGATGGCTATTCATGAAAATGGGGTAACAAGAAGAGAGGTGACATAAAAGGTGAAAAATAAAACAGTAGGTCCTGAAAGCAGATTTTTAAAACATCTGAGAAGCTACTCATATTTATTGTTGATATTAATGGACTGGTGACAATTGGATCAACACAATATAAAAATCCAACCATCCAAAACAGAGAGGAGACAAGAAGTGGCGGCTGTGGCATTGCTCATTCAGTACAGCTCCCCATTGATTGACTACACACGTCTGACACTCCTCAAGCTCATAAAGCCCAGTGTTTACTTAGGATTCACACTTCACTACAGACAGACTTGTGTGCATTTGTGTTCTTGTGTAAGTTGCGAGCCTGTTCAGTCAAGAGTCAAGGTGATATCACAACAAAGGCAGGTATGTTTGCCTTGGTTTTACGCCCAACTAATCAATGTCAGTCTCACGAGTGTTTGATAAACAGTTAGCGAGTTCCCGTTTGGCAAACCATGTACAGTACCTGCCTCAGCTCCAGATCTCAGAAATATACCAGAGCACAATGCACAGACGTTTGTGTGTGTAAGGATACATGCTTATAGAGTGTGTTTGCCTGGGACTACTTTACCTTTCGCACATTAATCCAGTAACCTATGATAAGGTCTGTGGCCTGAGGATCTTTCTGTGTCCACTGCAGGTTGTAGGAATAGTTGTTTCCTTTCAGGATCCGGACTGGGTTGGGTGTGTCAAAGTAAAACTCAGCATTGTAGGGCTGTGCTGTGGTACAGAGGACATAGAGAGCAGATCACTGATAAGGAGAAAACTATCCCATGTGAGCACATGGTGTATGGGTGCATGCATAGAAAGCAGAATTAGTGATCATAAAGTATTACAGTCTCATTTCTTTTTCACTCACCAGAGACATTAAATGTGCACGTTGATGTTCCTGCACTATTGCTGACTCGGCACTCATAAGTGCCGTTGTTGGTGGGTTCCAGCTTGAACTTCAGCTCTGGTGTCTCCTTCAGGTCGGGCATGGGCATACGGATTAATTCACCATTACGAAACCAGCGGATGTCAGTTAGACGTGGTGGGCTGGAGCGCAGGACCGTACACCTCAGGGTCACCATCTGAAAGTTCCTCGAGCGCCTGTCCTCAAAGACGGGGCTCAGCAAAGGAGGATCTGATGAGACAACAGAACCATGAGGTTTAGTCCATTTAGACACTGTTCAACATGCCATGTCAATTAATAAAGGGATATGATGTGCATAAGTAACATTATTGTCATTTGTAGCCTTTTCTCTAAACTTCTAAAATAAAGTATATATAACTGATTCATTCAGGCTTTGCATTCTGCACTGCAGTCGGTATCATAGTGACAGTGCTTCTGTTTGGTTCGATCTGAGAATAGAGAGTATAGCTTTCCCACATCTGACACACTGATGTCAGTCATTTGTTGTCACGCCCTCTGAGTCGACTGGATGTTCACAGGAACATTAATATTAATAAACCTTCACATCAACAATTAAAAGCATCCAGTTTATTACTCATTAGCACTCTATGAATCTCTAACCTTAAAACCTTGATAACATATAATTATAGGATAACAGAAACAATTATTTTCAAAGTATTTGTAGGTCTTGTTTTGTTTCTTCCCATCCATCATAAATAAGGGCAGCAGTCAAAGGGAAGGTTTTGGTACTAAAAAAAAAAACACAATCGATACACACGTGTAAAGGTATTTATTAAAGTCAAACAGAATTACTTCACCATAAATGAAGATGTCTCACTATTGTGTAACGATGTAGTAAACTGCAGGGATTTTTGGTCAGCTGTTGAACTGTTACATCAAACACCTAGCATCAGTTTTCTGTCTGTACTTCAGTGCTGAACGGATCAGAACCTTCTTTAAACCTTTTTTTTTCAGCACTTTATCCAGTATTCATTTGAGAATTATTATATGTTTTCTTAATCTTCATCCAATCACTTTATTGTTAATTTATTATTAAGCATAGCAATCAGGTGAACCCATGTGAGGCCTACTTAAAATCCACTTCCATCATAACGATAAACCGAAGCAGACACATATCTGAGAAGTTGGAGATGTGGACAAAGGCAAGTTTCTCCCGCCTCATCCTCGTTTTGCTCTCTGCAGTATAAATTTCCTCACAGCATCAGAAAACATTAGTTCTGACAAATTGTCTGACACAGAACAACTGTTATTTCCATGAGGGATCAGACACAATCCCATCGCTGCTGCTAACCAAACCTAACCAGCTGTAATGAACCTGTCAGCAGCGATGGCTGGCTCTGCGGTTAATGACTGACTAGCGCTGTTGCCCTGGGGTCAGCCGAGACACAACACAGCCAAATTACTCTGCCGCATATCACCATCCAGCTAGTTCACCGCTGGCTAATCATGGAGGTAACAGACAAGATGCTAATGGGTGGTACCGCATGTAACGGAGATGAGATCTGGTGTTGAGGCCCCCAGAGGTGAGGCTGCACGACTGGAGTTCCTTATAAATCAAGTTTATCAGACACCGACGTATAATTATAGTCTAATATACAGCACGCCTGTAATTTAGACAGATCAGGCTACAGAATGAGCTACAGTCTGGAGTCGAGAAAGACACAGAGGAAGAGAGATAACATGAGAAGCAGGGGAGGAGATGTTCTTTTTGTGCTTGATACAATGTGGAAATCTCTGGGCAGCAGAATCAGCCACCCCAGAAGCAAAGGAAATAATCACAGAAAGACATTTGACAAGGAACTTCTATAATTACGTTGATGTTAAAGACAAATCATTCTGATGTTTAAACAACTGGTACAGAAAGTGTTAATATACTTAAACACAAACTGAAAACCTGCCTCTTTAGTTTAGCTTTTGATTATTTGCTTATTTATTTCATTGTGTTTCTGTCTACACATATTATTTTTGCCTTTTATCTATTTACTATGTGGTGTATGTGGTTGTCTGTCTTTAAGTGTCAGCCCTGTGATAAACTGGCAACCTGTCCAGGGTGGACCCCACCTGTCAGCTGGGATTGGCTCCAGCACCTCGTGACCTTCTTCAGGAATAAGTGGTATAGATAATGGATGGATATTGTTTGTTTTACATCAAGACTCTCAGACTGTGTAAGCAACATCTTACGTACTTTCTACTTTGATGTTTGTATAATAAAAACTGTCATTTGCTGCCTGGTGTCCAGTCACTCTCGGCCTCTCTCCAGTCACAGTCGCACCATGTGATAAAGCTGAGGAATAAGTGAGTGGTCAAAGGTCAGACTGTTTTACTATGAAGTGATTAGCATATGGTAACAAACCCACCTCCGCTAAAAGACACTGATGGCAAGGGTCTGGTGACAGAAGCAGAGGGAAGGAGGTGTGCAGTGAGCTGGCCACTGAGCAGTTTATAAGTCATTCTATCCCCAGTGGATTTTGGGGAACAGGTTATTGAAACCCTTTACTTGACCTTAAGTTCTTTATTTCAACAATATTGTAGGTTTGTTTGCAATCAGTTTCACTTTTCAGGTTTACACATAATTTAATTTCTAACTCAACCTTTCAGATCTCTTGAGCATTGTTTCTTCATTTATTTGCTCCACATTTGGGGCTCACAGCAGCACACTGTAATGTTTCCTAATGGGAAGACCAAAATCCATGTAAACATACCATCACTGTCCGTCCTAATGAACGCAAAATGGATTCCACCCGGGAATGCAACACTGACCAAGCCAAGCATTTACAGTGCACAAACAGAAAGTCAATTTACATTAGACTGAGAGAGGGAGGAGGTGTGTGCTGGAGGGAGTAAGGCAAGCTGGGGGGAAGAAGAAGATGACAATGAGGAAGACAAATTATAGGGAAGGTATGGTGTGAAAGTGAGAGAAGTCAATGATTGAGTACGGGAGGTGGGGAGAGAATGAGAGAATGCAGGATGCAGAACAGGAATGACAAGACAGAGAGAGGTCCTCTCTCATGACCAGCAGTTAGATGATTGATGATGATGAGAATGGCAATGAGGAAGAACAGTCACCTCCCGAGGAAAGAAAGTAGGCAAATAAAGAAGGGATACAAGGCAAAAAGTAGAAGTGGGAGAGGCAAGAGGTGCAAGAATCTGCATATCTACTTAGATATACCTGCCATCAAAATAATGGCATCTCTAACAACCTTTTCCTCCTTTTCATCACTCTAACCTCCCAATCACAAGATTTTCTGTCCACCATTACCCAACTCTGGTTCTCCCTCTCTCAGTCCTGATCGTGTATCTGTCTCGTCTCTCAGTTTCTTTCTGTGTCTAGAGAGGGGTGGCCACCTGGTCCATTAATCAGAGTTGGCCAGTGTGGACAGCAGAGCAAAGTGTTGCCCTTTCGCCCCCTGCATTAGCAAGTGTTGTAAATCCTTCCTCAGA